TTGTCTGTGCCTCTTCTTCTGAAAACAGTTGAAGGGACGACTCCAACGTACCTAGGAAATGATCTAATCAGTTTCGTTCCGGAAATAACTATGGAAATTGGGATGCTTGCATTCGGCCGCTCTGAACATTGCATTACAACAGATGCCTGGTGACGACACTGCTCTTTTTCTCTGCTTTTTTCCCAACACGTCAGGAGAAATGACATGATTGGCAGCCGTTCTGAGTCCCCGCGTGGAGAGATCGCAGGGAATAAGCATATGAAAAGCCAACCAAAAATGAAGCTTTTGAGAACAGGAAATCATCAAAACCATCCATCACTCTTCACACCAGACACAGCCCCATCCCCCTCCGTGACGTGCCCCCCACATGGCTGTTATCTCTGTGCTTGAGCAGCGTGCGTGGTCCTGTGTCCCAGGACTTGCCCCAGGACTTAAGTGCCAGGCATGTGAGCACAAACCCATGTGGAGACTCTGAACGAACCCCAGGAGTACTGAGTGCATTGCTGTTGTTGCTGCGCCGTGTGTTTCCGTGGTGGTTGTCAGCGGCTGGTGAGTTGATCCTGACGTATGGCAACCGAGTGCAACGGGACACAATGCTGCCCGGCCCTGCACAGACCGTGTGACCGGCTGCTCATCTGACTACTGTGCCCCGTCGGGTTTTCACAGACTGATTTTCAGGGATAGATTCCCACGCCTTTGTTCCCGATCTGTCTCATACTGGGAACTGCTGAAATGTTCAGCATCACAGCAACACACAGGCCACCAGGAGGGACAGGTGGGCACTGGGCATGAGGCGCACAGGCCAGCAATCACGCCCGGGTCTCCCACGCGGAAGACGGGACACTGTCACTGCACCACGGCGCCTGTCGGGCGCGTTAGAGCTGCGCTCCGTTTCCTCCTTGCCACATACCAAGAAGCATGTTGGTTACAGAGCAGAGGGATTTGAAAATGCATCACGTGAAGGGTTTGGGAAGGGGGTGAGGACATCTGTGTGGCCCAGGGATCTCGAAAGACTTCATCCGTCCCTTTACTCAGTGGTTCAGCAACATTAATTCACATACATGATCTCTTTCGGTCTCTATGAGCCTTTGCTGAAGGCAGAGAAGTGTTGTCTTGTTATTCAAAGAATGTGTTTTTGCAAACTGCACAGTGCCTCAGATACCAGCTGCCTATGAGTGCTGTGAGTGTTATACGCATGTGCGTGTTATTTACTTGGGTGTATCATATGCAGAAATAGCTTAGTTCTAAGGGTGAAGAAAATCAGTGTTACGCATCATGGCAGTGTTACGCATTGAATTGCATCCCTAAAAAAGATATGGTTCCTCGGAACGGGGCCCTGTTTGGAAATAAGGTCTGTGTACTGTGATCATCAGAACCACCCTGTGGGGCAGATGCTACCATCTGACGACTAACGAGGGAACTGAGGCTTAGACATGGAAAACCAAGACCTGTTCCCCGGGAGGGAGGACCGTGCCCCACGTGCACATCGTGTGTGGAGGAAGGGAATTTTTTAAAATAGTTACTGATGCTTCTCTCTGCCCAGGTGTGCTGTAACCCTCCTGTTCCTCTCCCAGCCCACCTGCAGCCAAGCAGACAACACGTTGCTCTAGGTGAGAATGTTACAGCCGGGACCAAAGACAAGGTTTTGATTTGCACCAACCACAGATTCCAAGGGGACTTGAGGCATGGACAACCAGGGTGAGTGGCCAAGTCTTCAGTCCCCGGTGGGGCAAAGGAGTTGCAAGAAGGAACAGAGGTTGGATCCCTGTTTTACCCCAAGAATGGAGCCCACCCCATAGAGAGAGCTGACCCCAGAGAGGTCTACAGGGTCTGGGACAGCAGAGGCATCGTGCCCTGTGCCCTTGCCCCGGAGCCTGTGGGACATAGAAAGTGCCCCCTGCACAGAAGGGCTGCATGGGAGCGTGGGCTCAGTGCAGGGGTCCCTCCCTCCCTCAGCACTTAACGTGGAAGGAAGCGGCAGGGTGAGTCCCAGGGGCGGGAGAGGAGAGCGGAGGCGGAAAGCAGCCGGGGACAGCAGCGAGATCCCTGAGCAGGAGGACATGGAAGGAGACGTCCGTGAGGACCAGCCAGATGACAGCGCGGTCAGTCGGACCACCCCCCAGAGCTTGTAGGAACCCCAAGGTAAAGAGGAGGGTCTCTGAATTGACCAGGATAGAGGCTGGAGATAAAAAACAAGTGGGATTACTGTCAAGCCACATCTGCCACAGAGCTGAGCTGTGGAAGAGGGTATGTGCCCTCACACCCTCCCTGCCGTGAATGCACTTGGAGAGTCTGGACTTCTCTGAACTTGCACCAGGAGAGCTCAGGGCAAGCTCTCGGCCCACTCCTCCCATCGAGGATGCACGTTTGGGTTGTCACTTCACCCAACGTCACGTGGCCATGCTGTTCTGAATTTTCCGTCGTCTTGATGTCTGTCTGGTGTTATGTCATTGTCCTGCCACCCACATTGTCATGGGTATTAATTCCGTAAAAGCAAGGATGGCGAGACCCTGCCTCTGGTCATATTGTCAGGGACCAGTCCCTGGAGAAGGACCTCCGTCTTGGTCAAAGTAGAGGGTCAGTGAAAAAGAGCAAGGCCCTCAACGTGGACGGACAGGGTGGCTGCGAGTGGGCTCAGGCACGGCAAGGACTGTGAGGACAGTGCAGGGCCAGACGGTGTTCCGTTCACTGCGCTCAAGGTGGCTACAAGCCAAAAACAACTCAACGGCACCTCACAACAACAACAAATTCTACTTGGAGTAAGGCAGAGAGTGCACACACCACAACACACGTGTGCATCCAGCAGGTATTGAAAGGAAGTTACAGCTCTGGTGCTCGGTTGCTAATCAAAAGGCCAGTGGTCCAACTCAGCAGCTGCTACACTGGAGAAAAAGGAGGGAGTCAGTTTCTGTGAAGACTGACAGCCTTGGAGACCCTGTGGGGCAGTTCCTACCTGTCCTCTAGGGGCGCTGTGGGTCAGAATGGACTCCAGGCAGTGGGTGTGGTTTGGGCTTTGCTTCTGTGAAGACTCACAGCCTTGGAGACCCTGTGGGCAGTTCCACTCTGTCCT